ACCTCACTCGAACATTAAAAAAAAAAATAATAAATTTGTTATATAATAACTAGAACTTTAAAAAGTATCAAACTAGTATTGAACTGGTATTGAAATAATACTGATTTATAATAAATCTAATATATAAATTATAACTCATTTATATAAATTTATAATAAATTTAAATATCAAACTAATATTAAAATAATATTGTTAGAAGCTCTAATAATAACAATATATTTTTTTAATTAAAAATTATTATTTATTATTTTTATTTAAATTATTTTATAATTTGTTATGTTTTTTAAATAATTTAAATAATTTAATAAGATTAAAATTATAATTAATATAAATTAATATAATAAATATTATATTAAACAAAATTATTTTATTTTATTTTATTTTTTGATAACTATTATACTTTATTAATTATTATATTTTTATTAAGCAAAATTATTTTTAATAATATTATCTTGATTATTAATAATATAAAAAAAAAGAAATATACAAATAAAATATTTTAAGTAATTTATGATTATATTATTTATTATTAATAAAAAAAATTTATAACAAATAATTATATTATTATAAAGAAATAGTGATTGACAATATGACTTAGAAATTGAAAAATAACAATTACATATTATAGAAGTTGTCAAAACAGGTAATCAATCTTCAACCTTATTATTTCTTTTGTTTTGTTATTTTTATTATTTATTATTTTATTTTTAATTATTTTAATTATTTTATTTTGAATATTTATTTTAATTATTTTATTTTATTTTTTTATAATGAAATATATACATGATGCATAATCTTTATTAATATGTTTATATATCTAGATAAACATCAAGTATCTTTACAAATTAATTAGAAATTAGTTGATACAATGGATACTCTTTTGTTTATACAATTAACTTGTAAATCAATACTGCCTAGTGTTTATATTATTATTAGACTAGCTATATTAACTACTATTTATCTGACTTATGTATTTATTTAAATATCTGAAAATGTATCCATATATCAAATAGAACTTTCTGCAGAAGAAGGAATCCTACCACTAGTTTAAACCCTTCTAAATCTATTAAGTCTATTATTGCAGAGAGTAATATTGTTATAGAATATTATTATAGAGACCAACTCTAGTATTCTAGTTACTGTTATTATTAGATTCTTAGGATATGCTATTAGTATAGCATAGCATTACCATTTTCATCATCTGTGAAACTAGTGTTCTTTCTTGAATTCTGATTTAATATTGACAAATCTTATCAGACTTATTTGGTTTTAACAATTTTTACCTAGATTGTTACTACCTGTAACAGATAAGCTTTGCTCTTTCAGTCTATTTCAGTTCAAAAAAACATTACTTTTAGGATAGATCTTCAAGCTTCAAATTGAAATATATTAGCTTGGAATTAGCTTTTTTATGTTGTGTGACAGAGTTTATTATTATCAATTTGGATTGAAGTTTTTGTAAACTTATTATTGGAGTTAGATCAGAAGTCTTTTCTCATGCAATTTTCCTTACTTCAACCTGTTTTTAGCCTGTAATTGTTGGAAAAATCAGAGATTCTATCATTTGGCAGCCTAACCAAATTTATAAATTAATTTTCTGCTGCTTGGAAATTATATGAGTTGGAAGCTCATCAATTAATCATAAAAGTGATAAATTTTTATAATCAGATGAATTTGAATTCTGGATCTTCTCTTGAAAACCTATGAAGCATTATCATTATATTATAAACCTATAGATTTTTATTTTATTTTATTTTGTTATAAAAAATGTATAAAATTGATGTAAAAAAATATAACAAAAGAGAAAAGTGAAAAATTAATTAATAAAAAAGTATTTATTAGTTAAAAATTACTATATTTATTGTATTGTTCTAATTAAAAAAATTCTTTTAAATTATACTGTATAATTAAAATTAATATTATATAAATTTTTAAAAAATATTTTGATTATTTAAAAAAATAAATGAAAGGTAACTTTTTACTTATAAATTTTTAAATGTTATAAAAAAAATGCTCTATGATTTAAGAAATAATAATAATCATATCAGTAATGTTGCCCTGCACTATCTTAAAATCTTAAAATTTCTCTTTATTGTTTTTAACTTCAAGTTGATCCAAGTCTATTGTGTTGTGCCATAAATATAGTAAAGATAGATAATAGGTTCTTAGCAAGCTCACTGAATTCGGTGTCATCAACGTTGATATCTGAACCAAGTATCATGAACTTTATACAATACTTGCCAAGAATCCATTTGACAAGCACATACAACCTTTTCGACATCTCCTCGGTATGATTATTCCAAAATGGATGTGAAGCACTTGAATTTCATTGAGACCTGATCCAACGTTCATGATCTGGATATTTCTGCCTGAGTACACGCATTTCCTGTCAAGGTCCCCTTTCGTAATCGATCTTTTTTATTTCATTTATCCTTTCTTGATCTCTTGTGCTTCACGATACTTGTTATTGACATTATCTTACGTAAACATATGAAAACAGGACTTATTATAATTTATAAAGAATGTCAACATTCGTTGCCATCAATGATCAGGTAATATAAAATACAATCCGTAAAATAAATACTGTAAGTTAACAAGATGAAACTAGGTACAGTACAGTACTGTATTGGATGAATGTTGTTGCCTTCTGTGATAGAAAAAATAAAACCCAATAGAATCACTATTCTACAACGCTGATTAAAGCTAGAAAATGTATTTGTCTGTTAGCGCCCTATAAATTAACGAACGAATTATTTTCAATATTCATTCATTACCTTCCTATTTAATACAATCATTTAGAGATTTTGCGTACAAATTATGTATTCGTTTCCTTACATATTTTGTTCAAAGGAATGTTTACCATTTATTTAGATCCAGTTGAGAACGTCGTCGCACAAAAATATCTCTTTATTACTAAACCGTCTCCTATATTTAAACTTGTAACCTAGTTTGATAATCCTTCAAGACTTCTTTTTTGTACGAATAGCTTTTCTGCAAAGAAGTTGTGTAATCAATAATCATTCTCCCAACTTTACATGATGTAACAGGCGGTTTGTACTAATTAAGAGTGTCCGCTTGTTGTCAAAGAAAAATAACCAATTTTCTTTGTTCTCAATCTAATAATCAATTTAGATAGTTTGATTTATTTATTTAATCGATTAAAAAAGGTTAATCCCATGAAAGTTCGCGATCCAAAATAATATAAATTTGGCTGGTTGTTTTGAAAAGCTGTAATTATGGAAACCAAAAAAAAATTTTTTATCCTGATTTAATTACCGAAAGACATGTTTTCATATTAACTCAGAGAAAGATTCGCATTTACAATGTTAACTCAGGGATTGTAATGTTGACTCAGAGAAAGGTACAGTTGTTCGAAATCAAATAAATCCTTGCGCCCAGCCATTTCAAGGAGGAAGGCGCATTCATCATGGTCCGAAAGCTTGTACGCTATCCTGTATGTTCGCTTCTAAGTAAAATGACAAAGTGTTGGTGCGAAAATCCAGGATTATGTAAACACGCAAAAATACCGATAGGTTAAATTCAAGAACTTTACTACACACACAAATAAATAGTATGTCAATGTGCATGCATGCATGCAAGTCAGTTCACTCCGAACAACTCGGGTCCTGCTTTAAATCTAAATAATATTTTTTTTGGCAAATATTTTTGTGCTTTATTTATAAATGTAAAAAACAAAATATAAATGTATCGCGTAAGCGTAATAGAATCATAACCTTATGAAAAAATTTTCTCCGATTGTACGACTTTTTTTTTATAAAAAAAAAAAAAAAAAAGCAAGAAATTTATCATTTTCGTTCGAATCTTAAGGAGGGAAATGTAACAATTCTGGCACTGATCCGCCTTGTGCTACTGAGCGACGACGCTAAGTAAATGCCAAGCCGCTGATAAATTTTAAAGCAATTTTATGAAAGCATAATACGTACGATGTATTGTATACTGTAATTGTTTCTAGAGAAACTTATTTTACTGTAATCAGATATTTGCATTTTTTTATCACTATACATTTTTTAATTTTAAAGTATTTCATAAAAAAAAAAAGAGCAAACATATTTTTACGAAAAAAAACATATTTAATTAAATAAAAGTTTTATACATAATCAAATTGATATTTAAAAAATTTTGACTTAAGGTTATTTTATACATATAGTATTTAATTTCTTTAAATTTATATAAATTTTAAAAAATTTTTAGTTTATTTATCTATTTTTTTTTTATGAATTTTATTTAACACAAAATAATTCTGATGTTTTAATAATATTTTATTAAACAAAAAAAGTTTCAAATACATAAAATAAAAATAAAAATAAAAAAATTTTTTTTGTATATTAAATGGTTAAATATAATTATTATTTAAATTTAATGTTTCAAGTAAAAATTTTAAAAAAATTTATATTTAAAAAAAAATTTATTAAAATCTTTGTATCAAATATTTACTATTAGATTAATAAATAAAAATTCATATAAAATAAAATAATTATAAATCATGTTTTTAAAATATATATTTAAAAATAATAATTTTATATCAATTTCTTAATATAATGTATTTTGTTTTTTTTTTTTTTTTTTTGGTTATCCCAGTAGATAAACATAATTTCTTTATTTGTTTTTTTTTTTTCAAGGTATACATCATGAAAAAAAAAAAATCTCT